ACCAAATCAACAAAACACCTAAACCGATTTAACCTTATTAGTCAAATTTGGAATTCAATTAACCGAACGAATCGAAATTAACCAAATTTATATTAAATTGTAACAAAATTTACACAAAAATCTAACAAAATGAAAAAAAAACTTTTGAATAAATTTAAAAACTGAACAAACAGAGCACCGAACCAAACTTTATTTTGGGTTACTTTAGTAATATTTATGTATGAGGCGAATAACCTAGACTAATTGAACCCGCGTGTCTATGCTAAGTTATTGAGGTTACAACAACAATCACACACAAGTTTCACGACAACAAACTTCCACCTAACTGACATACTAAAAGTCACTTCTACTTTTGCATCAAATGTTATTATTACAAGCAAATGTGTCAATCTATTTTTCATATCAAGATATTTTTGTAGAGATTTACATGGTTTACGTCTACCTCTTTACTTCGAATTTGATTCAAAAAAATTATAGGCTCTCACAACAATCATGTACATAGATTAATACACTTATATTCAGTTACGTACCATTGGTAATATAATTTTATAGTTTAAAGATAAAAGATAAAAGATAAACAATTGACACAAAATATTCCAAGCATCATTACATAACTGACCATCACACAGTTATACATCTACTCAGTAAAATGCAAAACTAAAATAAAGAACTCCCAAATTCAGCCGATAATAAACTAGCAAGTCATTTGACCCGTGCGCTAACAAAACTTCGTAACAGTTAACATCACACAACATGCCTCAACAAAACATAATAAGCCCTATTAACATCCACATTTGTAAATGGTACACTTATACAACCCAAATCTATAACTTAACTTCATATACAATTATGATTAGATTAAGAAAAAACTAAACCGAATTAAACTAAGGGAAAGTGCATGCAATACCATATAGAAGACAATATTGAAATAACCATCCTTACTTTAGTTGAATCCAATAAAAACAATTAATAACAAAACTGTTATAGTGGTCTGAAACAAATACACAAAAATATGAACCGCCGAAAACATTCTATGCATTTTAATACACATCATCTGACAATACATAAATCATTTCCAAGTTATAGCAACTGCCATCCACGAATTACATAACTATTTAGACAGGTCCTAAGCATCAACCAAAAATTTAATATCAAATCTAAAATGGTGGAACCAAAAGCAAAATACACTTACACACCAATTGTTTATAAACAAAAGATTAGATTCCGCTCGAAGCGCGGACAAACCACTTGTACATACATAAAGTTTAAAGCGACAAAACTCATGAGTTAGCTCAAATTCATTAAATATTGTTCATATAACTCATGATTTAAATTAAGCTTGATCATTAAACTCATTTATTAAATAAATCTAAAAAATAGCGATCATGCGCATGAAATATCGAGCTGAACTAAGCCAGCTCATGAGCTATAACTCATTTTGATACCCCCTACATCTACCTAATTACCACTCTCTCCGTGTATATTCACCTAAATGACTAATCTTACAAAGAATTATACAAATTCAAAAAGATAATATAATACTATGTGCAGTAATAAACTTTTAAAAAATTAAATTGTATTTAAAATGAAATTTATTAATATTATATTTTTTTTTATTTTGACTAACATGTAATATAAGTTTAATTTAATTAAGTTTAAAATTAAAATAAATTTGTTTATTTTAAATTATATTAGTAATTTATATGTAATATATTTAAAATTCGAAGCTTAGAATTTTTTATCTATTTATTTCGGTTAAATATATTAAATAAGCTTGTATAAAATTACTAAGAAAATTCATATAAAATTGTATATTTATTAAAAATTATAACTAAAAAACACTCACAAAATTTGACGATATCTAAAATAAACTAATGATATTACAATTAAAAATTTATTATTATTTTTTCAAATTGTTAAATTTTTTAAAATATTAGTAATAAAAATTGTATAGTTATAAAAGTAAATTAAATTACATTTCAAAATTTATAATGTATATTTCAATATATTTATTTTTGGTGATGATTTGATTTATTAGTTATTAACATATTTTTACAAAATTACCAAAAATATAAATCAACATTAAATGTAATGTATCAGTTCTTGTATATTCTATAAAAATTTTCAAAAATATATATCAGTAATAAATGTAATTATTCATGCCATATTTAACTATAAGCCATATCATCAATCTTAGTAGTCATGTCATCATTTTTTTTATAAAAATGATTATAGAAATGACATATGGCAAATCACTTCGCAAATAGTATATAAGAGATAAAATATTAGTAATAGATCAATGGAAAGATCACAACTTGCTCGATGTGTAAGTGATCAAGATAATGAACTCTTTCGCAGATCACAAACAGAATTGCTGCTAGAGAATGAACTCTGTAGCATATCAATGTTCAAAGATGAACAAAGGATTCACAACTCAGAAAAGTTTTTTTATAAAATAGTGAATGAATCAAACATAGTTCGACAAGGTGTTTATGTAGGGGAAAGTAGAAGAAAAAGCACTCTAAGACTTTGTGTAAAAACGAGAAAAGACTTCTAAAACTCATACAAAACCAAAGACTGAATAAGTGTAGATTTTGACTTGGTTCTGGTCTTGGTCTTCATAAATACCTAAATGACTATGAAGACCAAGACCAGAACCAACTTGCTCTTCATAAACACCATCCGTAGTCTTGGTCTTCATAAACACCATCCGTGGATGCTGGTAGAGATGGAAGGGGATTCTTCAATTGTAGATCAATGGAGAGATCACAACTTGTTCGATGTGTAAGTGATCCAGAGAATGAATTCTTTCGCAGATCACAAACAGAATTGCTGCTAGAGAATGAACTCTGCAAAAATCAATGTTCAAAGATGAACAAGGGATTAACAACTCAGAAAGGTTTTTTTATAAAAAAAGTGAATGAATCAAATAGAAATCGACAAGGTGTTTATGTAGGGGAAATCAGAAGACAAAGCACTCTAAGACTTTGTGTAAAAACAAGAAAAGACTTCTGAAACTCATGCAAGACCAAAGACTGAATAAGTGTAGATTTTGACTTGGTTCTAATCTTGGTCTTCAATTGATTTCGGGTTTGGTTTAGAGAGAGCCAAGGTTGCAATTGATTTCTTCAATCCTCTGGTTTCTGATCGAGTAATTGGACCGGTTAAGATGACAAATAAGTCTTGGTTTAGGTGGTTATCTTCAGCTCCTGATTGTAGAAATGACATATAAATCAACATTAAATGTAATGTATGAGTTATTGTATATTTTATAAAACTTTCCAAAAATATATAGCAATAATAAATGTAATTATTCATGTCGTATTTAACTATAAATCATATCATCAATCTTTGTAGTCATGTCATCATTTTTTATAAAAATGATTGTAGAAATAACATATGGAAAATCACTTCGTAGATAGTATATAAGAGATAAAATATTATATATAAAGCAAATCTATTAGATGTCACAAATAAAAAATTATAACAAAATAATACAAAAAAAAAGAAAAAAAAATCCAAAATAACATTCACTAAATAATAAAATTATTAAATTGCTTTAGACTCTAAACTTTACCATAATTCTACTTTTTACAACCTAAAACTTCAACCTTAAGCCCTAATCATAAACCTTACCCAGAGAGTATTTTTAATTTTTACTAAAAGTGATTTTAATTTTTTCAAGTGATTTTCTAATAACAAAAGTTATTGTATTTCACAATATTCTATATTAATAAAAACTAGGTGTTTTTGCCCGCACATGCGGGCTTATGATTTTATAAATATCTATAAATAAATATGCAATCAATTTAAGTAACATTAAAATAAGTTATTGTTTATATATTCAAGATATTTAATAATAACTTTTTTATATTTTATGTTTTTCATCATAATATAATAATTTCCATTACATAAATTAAATTTAAAAACACTTATAATTTAAAATATTTAGTAATAAATTAATATCAAATTTTAAGATATGATAAAAATTGAGTATAATAAAATTATCTTTTACTGCGTAAATAAATTTGAAATACTCTAGTATACATAAAAATATATAGAAAATAATATGTAGGTATTTTTTTAGTTTTATTTTAAATTTTTTGGATAACACAATATAAATTATTTTTTATCTATAATTATCAAATGAATGAGTTTTTTTTAATTAATGATATAGATTAACAAATATAATTAGTGTCAATGTTAATAAAGATTTTATAACAAAAAATAAACAAATTAGATAAGGATAATTATAAGATTAATGAAATTCGTTTTCAATTTATAATTAATTATATATTAACAAATAAAACTATTTTCAAGATTAATAAAGACTATATAAAACATTAGAAAATATTTTTAGATAAGGATAAATCTTAAACCATTGAAATTCATTTTTATTTATAGTTAATTATATATTAAACTTTTTTAATTATTCATTAAGGGTATAAACGATATTAACCACTTCAAGTTTTAACGTGAGAGCTCCAGTTGCGAAAAATCATTTTGCAAATAATAGTATAGATTATGGATAGACGCAAATTCAGGATGAAGTAGGGCTGGGCAAAAAAAACCGAACCCGAAAATTCGAACCGAATCCGACCCGATAAAAAGGAACCCGAACCGATCCGAACCCCACATAAGTACCGAATGGATCTTGTTTTACGGTATTTCGGGTTATGGGTATTACCCGAACCGAACCCGAACTTAAATGGATATCCGAAAGAACCCGAAACTTTAAAATTCCAAAAAAACTTGTATCATATCCAATCTAAATTTCTAATATGTTTCCAAAACAGATTAATATATTATTGAGTACCTACAATAATTAGTTAT